AAATATTTGCCTATTAGGCTAATATCTGTCTTGATGATACAGTAGATCTTAAAGTGCAGCCTAATTTCTAACTCACCTCTTGGTTCTTCGCTCTGTCCTCATCCTGCCATCTCCCTGCTCCTGTGCCTCTCCTGCCTTCTGCTGACCACCACTTTCCTTCATACACATTAACTTTGCAAAACTGCACCTATACTTTTAGTGTAATGTTCTGTAGCTCTTAATACTAATATTTCCGATTTATTCTTCTTTTACCACCAAAAAAGTGTCTGATGTCTCCATCTTTCCTTTTCCTCATATTGTGTCTGTGAATAAAATCTTATCTATATTTAACAAAACAGTATCTGGGCTACCAGATGAAGCTTCTAAAAATGTCCATAAATATGAAATTGTGGAATGCAGAATCAATACCACTAAAATTCAAATAATAGGGCTTATTATTTGCTAGATAATCTTTTTACGTTGGCCCTATAGGTTTCACTTATAGTAATGTTTTTTCAGAGCATAACGTTAGACCTTCTTATGCGTTAACATTAGCCTAATAACAAACCACACAGACTAAGTGGCGAATTAATTTCAGAAAGGCACAATTTATACGTGATAAAATGAGAATGAAAACATAGGGAGTTCATCTCCTTGGAAAATGACCATGCTCGATTTTACCTCACCAAATAAGCCTGGTTTAAATATAGAACTTAGCTCTCTTGCTAGTTAACGTAACTAACGTTGACTGTACCGGTGTTCTGTCGAGTTTAGCTACTTTGTCGAGGTAAGCTATGGTTAGGGCTATCGATTAGCACTACGGTAGCTTACCTCGACAAAGTAGCTCAACTCGACAGAACACCTGCCTCAGAAGGACAATGGTAAGTAATTCAACTTATAAAGACGTCAGCTTGCATTAGTAGATGAAACACTTAAACGAATAAATTAAGGTTGTAAAATGCATTTTCAACAGGCTACACTTCTGCTGGCTACTTAACATTTACCAATGCATGACAAACAGCACCATGACAAACAAACACAATGAACACTCAATGAGAATGAATGACGCAACCGACTGGCTACTTCTAGCGCCTAGGTGGTTAAAATGGTACGGTCCACATTAGGGGTGTCTGAAATTGTTTTACATAAAAGGTGAGGTTAGCATTTTTTTTTACAACAAAAGAAAAATGTTAGAACCCCCACAAACTGCTATTTTTTTGTCTCTTTGGGGGGGGGGTCTGGGTCTTGATCGGGGGGTACTGTACCCCACAGTACCCCCCGTAATTCGAACCATGGTGTGCAGTGTTGCACTATAAAGTAGAGACAAAATAATTTATGCAATCTGGTGTGTACAATGTTGTTGGTTCAGTAAAGATTGTCCACAGTGCTGGAGAAGTTACTTACATAGGTAATCCATTACAGACCGTTCAGGCCCAGAAAGTACAAATCCAGACCAAGGTTTTGTTTCAAACAACCAGTGCTCGTGACTCTTTATATTCAACTGATTGGTTGAAACAAACCCTTGGTCTGGATTTGTACTTTCTGGACCCGAACTGTTAGTAATTGATTACTTTTTTGAGTAGCTTCCCCAACACTGATTGTTCATTGAGTATGGTTTTGGTCACACGCTACCCAAGTACCCACCTAACGCTACAACAATTTTCAAGTTCCGAGTTATCGGGAACGCATCAATACATCGCAATGTACGATATTAATTAAAGTTCTGCTAGTAAGCAGGGGGCATCCCAGTGCAGGAACGGCTCGGTTCATGGTGGCAGGGAAAAAACGTCATATAAGCAGAATCCACGCACAAGCTCGGGAAAGGGAAAATACCTTCAAGCGGACTATCGGACTGAACGCCGCAGGAACGTAATCAGCGTATTTTAAGTGAAGTGTGCAGATGCGGGTATTTATAAAACAGTTAAGAAAATACATAATCGAAACAATATTAATCAACTAATGAAGTAAATTACTAAAGGTAAGTAGGCCTACACCGAAGTGTACCTAAAATGGTCAGTTAATGGGTTGTAGGCAGGAAAGTTATGTTCGGTACCTAGGGGCATTTTCAAAATCATTTTACAAATGATTCCCAAAGGAAAAAAAAAAACAACAACATCTGTAACGTTGTCGCGTTGCATTGTGTAGACCAGGGATCACCAACCCTTTTGAACCTGAGAGCTACTTCACGGGAAATGATCAGCCATACGAAGGGCTGCCAGTTTGAAACGACCTCTTTAACTTATCTAAACTTCATGTATAATAAACATGTTTTAAATGCTTTTTTCCCCCAAGATATTGTCATTTTCAAATCTATATAAATGCAAATGTGATTAAAGAAGAATAGCAACAGGATAAAATTTTAGATGCCGCTCACTGGTGAGTCGTGCTATTTTTTAGAACAGGTCCACGGGCGACTCATGTGGTCCTTGGGGGCATCCTGGTGCCTGCGGGCACCATGTTGGTGACGCCTGGTGATGACCGATGTTTCTGGTTAAATATGAGGTAGCTGGTTACACTTTTATCACTGCCTTGTGAATCCAGAGAGGCAAGAGAAAAAACAAAAATTAGAGTGAGTATTATTAAAATGGAACACTTTCTGAAATTTTGCTTTCTGGAAATAATTACAGAATCACCTCAATGTCTTAATACCATTCTAAATACATTAATGCCCCAAGAACACTTTATGGAAGAGAAAATAAAGTACTACTAAACACATATATTAACTGTAAACTGTGCCATTTTGTCAGGTGTCCCATTTTAACAATTAATACCCCTACAAAAAGAAAATGAAAGGCATTCAAATAAGCCTATGCAGAATACATAAATAGAATTCATAAACAAACACCTGAATTACAACAAAGAGATAACAAGAAAACTAATAAAAATTATTTTACATTGGTGAGTGTGTGTCTGTGTGTGTGTTGAGAGCTGTGTAGGCCTACATGCCTAAAGCAATCAGTGACTGTTTACTGACTCATGGTAATGAGATGCTATAAACTCACCGTCAGGCTTCTGCTGGCCAGTTAAATCACGATTCTGATAATTACATTCTCAGAGTGACTTTTACTGCATATGGGGACTAGTTATCATCATGAAGAATTACGTTTTTAACATCTTATGTGATTTGTTTATGTTCAGCAGAGATGCATGTTTTATGTTTTCCAGTTGGGAAACAATGTTGTGAAATAATAAGACCATTTCATCAAATATCATGACCTAAAATACTGAGCTATTATTGACAGTCATATCACCCAGCCCTACACTGAAGTCTGTGAGTTTGGGGGCTGGTATTATATTTTAAAATCAGTTAATTTGTGTACGATACAGTCTGCAGCCCTTTTATGATTTAATCATTAAGTGTCAGATGCAGGCTTGTTTTTATACCTGTCGGGTTTCATTTAATCGGGATCAACAAATCTGCTCCCCTTCAGGTCACTTGTCCTTGAGTATTGATCCGTATAACACACATCCACTGGCCTTGACTGTACTGTGGCTGTCTGATGTATTTTTTGTGAGTCTGGGCAGAGGGTGGAGGGGTTTATGTGTCTCACATAGGACAATAAATTATGTGGGCTACACTTTGTAATGCTTGATATAGTTTCTGAACATTTCCAGAGAAAATTTATTGCTGTATTTGCCATTCACATTCCAGTTAATTATGCTCCTCTGTTAAATGGAATTTACTGCTCCAATCAATATAAAACAAATAGATCCAGTTAAATCAATGAATATTTGAGATCATTTCAGGATAATAAAGGGTAATCAGTTTGGGTGAAAATTTCTCACTTATGAAAGAGAGTAAAATCAGATGGTGTCTCCCCCCCACACTAGAAAAGGGGTGTGCTGGGGTATTCTTCATGTCAGGGCGCCTGTGTCCCCGCCCCGGCAAAAACCATCCGGCACAGTGAAAGCAAAAGAGCGAGGAAGAGGACACAGCAGCAACCGAGGAACGCCGAACCTGGGAGGGAATGAACGGAAAGCCTGAAATTGACTGATAACATAAACAAAAAAGGAGAGAAGAAGGCATCCGGCTGCCGACGGAGATAGCACTGCAACAGTCTGTGTCGCGGCAGAGATTTACAGCTGGGGAGGAGTGGGGTTTCGTTAACGGCCCACCATAAAGTAAACGAGAGAGGCAGCCAGAGAGGCAGGGACGTGGGAGAGAAGCGAGAGAGAGAGAAAGAGGGAGTGAGCGATAGATAAAAGCGAAACCAGTGCAATGAACAGTGCACTACCCTACAATTCCCTCCCCGGCCGGCCAAGCCCGAGGACTGCAGATTGGGAAGGGGTCCCAGCATCACGGAGGCTTTCCTCTCCCAGGGGACTGAGCCTCGCGGTGCCCCCAGCACTGCCTCGTCGTCCCTCGGCACCCCCCGGCATCCTACTCTCCCCCTTCCAGCAGCAACAGCGGCCACACCAGCGACTCTCTGTGTCGCTGTGCTCCGAAGCCTCGCTGGCACCCCCACCACAACCTGAGGCGGCACCTTGCTGCATGCCTGTAGGCATCATGCCCGTCCTGCGCCTCGGCCTCCTCGTCTTCAGCTGCCTCTTCTGGGCAGTGGGGCTGGCCATCTTCACGTTGGGTGTCTGGGCACAGGTCTCCCTGGCCAACTACATGCTGTTGTCGGCCAACCATTACCCCAATGCGCCGATCATCCTGTTGACGACAGGAGCTGCCATCGCTACCTGGGGCTTTCTGGGCTGCCTGGGGGCTGCTGCCAAGCTGCCCTGTTTGCTTCGAGCCTATGGCGTGTTTCAACTGGCTGCCTTGGTGGCAGGGTTAGCTGCCGGCCTGTGCGGACTCTTCTACCGTGAGGACATCGCCGAAGGGTTTCGTAGTGGACTGCAACGGGCCGTTGAATCATACGGTGATGACGACGGTCGGGCTAATGCACTGGACAGCCTGCAGAGGGCACTCAAGTGCTGTGGAGCTAAGGGGTGGCAAGACTGGCAGGCCTCAGAGTGGGTTGTATTGGACATCGGCGCAGACAATGTCTCTTCCATCTCGGTGCCAGACAGCTGCTGCGTGCGTCGTAAAGGCTGCAGGAACAGGCCCCTGCCTGCAGGGGGCGATGGCACTGCAGAAGCGGCAGGTATCCACCCTGATGGCTGTTTCCGCAAGGTCTTCAGCATTGTTAATGACAACGTCTTCCACATCGCCGCTACCGTGCTCGCGTTGGCCTTTACCCAGGCTGCAGGCATCGCCCTGGCCTGCTTGTTGGCCAACCGCCTGGCTCTCAGGCCACAGCGTGGGCCGGTAATACAGCCATAACCCTCAGGGGAAGAAACCACTGCCTGTTACTTGAACCTGACCACATAAAACTATGTTTGTACTCAACAAAGCCTCAAGACCAACAAGGAGTCTCTAAGGACTATCCACAGGCCTAACAGGGAGTTTTTAAATTATAATCAGAAACGGGACAGGGAGCATGGAGAGGGGGCATGCATCGTGTCAGTCAGTCAACCTATAGCATCACTCTTTAAACTCCTGCTATGCAACCAAGAGCACAGGCAGGATGGATGGTGGACACCAGGTTCAGGTCATCAGGCACCTACAGAATCCTGAGAGCCACAGAAGGGACTGTCCATGGGATACCTATTGCAGATCTTTGGCATCCAGCTTGGAAATTAACAAAGTCAGGTCACAAGACAATGGTGTGGTGCTGTTCATCAGTTTGTATGCTGTATCTGGATTAGTGATTAAAACTATTGTTACTTATTAAGTGTAACAGAATGTAGAACACAGTGATAAAGTGAACAATTGTCTGGTTACATTTCGGAGGCTTTGAAGCTGCTGAACATATGTGGTCCCCCAATTAGATTTATAAAACAATGACATAAAACATGCTAAGTTAAATGGGAAATGTTCGATCTCATTAAATTTAGGTTTAAAGCCAACACATTGTGTATATTATATACCTTTAATCATTATTAGTAAAAAAAATATATGTAATATACGATATCATTCCTCTAAAAATAAATTTAAAATAGAAGTACATGGTTGTACTTAGTACTGGGCGGTATGACCAAAAATTTGTATCACGATATTTTTGGAGATTCTGGTGGTTTCACGGTAAATAACGATATTCTTCTAAGTTCACCAGGCAGGCAGCAAGAGTTTACATAAATAAAATACGTTGTCGAATCTTTCTAAAAAGGTGTGTCTTTATTATTATTTAAGAGATCGTTTATATTCAGCTTGATAGTATAATCGACATGTTTCATTAGATTATAAATGTCTGTCAGCTCATTAGTGATATGTTATTTTGTATTATAACCATGTACATAGCTCGGTAAGCATTGTTTCACTGACGTGTTCTGTTATACCGATGATGTGCGCTATATTTAGTAGATGGCGACATGTTTATGATTATAACCGCGTATCTAGCTCCATATGGACATGTTTTATTATTATATATTTAGCTGTGTACAAACATGTTGTACATTGTACATACATGATTTTAATAATTATTACTGTAGTAAATCGATATTAAAGATTTTGATTTACCGATATGAATTTAATTGAAGAATTAAATGTATTGCACGAAATCCAATTTTTCAGACACAGACTGAGGTAATAGCTATAAATACTATAATGATAAACATTTATATATGGAGGATTCTATGTTACGAAATTATATAATTTGCTGCCTATTGAAGCATTACAACTGTTTCAACTATGCTACTGTAGGGCACAATATGAAAAATTCATGGTGTATGGGAAATTAAAACCAGTATAACAGTTCCCAGCAGTAGTTGTACTTTTCACCTGAAAAATGCAGATATTTGATATGAATGTTTTATACTGTAATGAATAGAATAAAGAGTATACATTGGCTTTTTTTTAAAGAACAATGTTTCCATTTTTGGTCATAAAGCTCACCTTAAATATTATCTGATAAAGAAGTGTGACCACTCGTGGGTTGTTGTTGCATATTTGTAAATGGAAGAGAGTAGGAGATCCTGGGTGTGGTTTGCTAGTGTGGTAGTGGGTGTGGTGCATAGATAAATACATAGATAAGGCATATTTGTAGAAAACAATAAAAGGCTTGTGTTACATTAATACTATGCTAGCAAAGTAGTTTAGCAATATTGTATGAAAATCACATGCTTTATAGTTCTGTGGCTGCTTAGCACAGATCATGTGGCAGTCAGTAAAAGCTACTATAAAATATATTGTCTGAGATCCCTGATATAAATACCCCCTCATTTTCCTTGTAAATACAGAGACATGTCAGCACAGAATGTATTGGATCTCGAAAGCATTCCTAGTGAGGAATAAACTCTACAAATATGAAACTGAAAACAGCTTGTGAGACTGTGTGTCACTTCCTGTTCGTGCCTCAATAAACCCTGTTGTTAAATTCTATTTTTCTTTATTCCAGTTTTCTGGCTATTTATTTTGAAAGGTGTATGGATATGTGGTGTGGAGGTGTTTTAGTGATTACACAGATAGTGTTTTATTGAAATTCAGATTAAATTAATTTTCATTTTTTTAATATTCATTCATGTATGTGTGGCTACATGGCTACCGGGGAAATCGGGTATAGTGAAGGCAAATAAACACAATCAATATGAAATGTTCATTTTATATGTTCTAGTACTGTGATACGTAGTATGGCACATGAATAATTCTCTGCCGTTATGGACTGACCTATAAAAACTAGATTTATTAGGGAATGACCATTTCTTCAGCTATAAAAGTATGAGTTATCGCCCTGATTCAGAAAATGACAGGAGCTCCTGCTTGCATTTTAATTTCTCTGTGTGTGTGTATGTGTGTGTAAGCGGGATTACCTGTCCTTATGGGGACACAATGTCCCCATAACGTGATAAATATCCATTTTTTTCCCCTATGCGGACCGGTTTCCTGGTCCCCATAAGGGAAAACTCTATTTTATGAAAATCAGTGACTGCTATATGGAAAAACTAAAAATGCAAAAACTCTTGTATTTTGTTTGGTTACTTATGTTTATGGTTAGGGCAGGGTGGGGGTTAAGGTTGTCATAGTTAGCATTAGCATTATTCCCATAGAATAATGAGAATAGTGAATTAGCGGGCCCCATAAGGATAGGTATGCCCGACATGTGCGTGTGTGTGTGCATTGTGAGGACCAAATGTCTCCACAATGTGATAAAAACCTGTTATTTTGATGTTACGGGAACCTTTTTTTGGTTCCCACAAGGGGAAATTCAATTTTATAAAAATCTTTGACTGCAATCAAAAAACTAAAAATGTCAAAAGACTTGTATTTTGATTGGTTACTTATGGGAAAGGTTAGCGCTGGGTAGAGGTTAAGGTTGTTGTTGGGATTAGGGTTTTGGCTATAGAAATGGATAGACAGTCCCCCAAAGAAATGAGTACAGGTCTCTCTCTCTCTCTTTCTCTATCTATCTATCTATCTATCTATCTATCTATCTATCTATCTATCTATCTATCTATCTATCTATCTATCTATCTGTCTGTCTGTCTGTGTGTGTGTGTGTGTGTTTGTGTATAAACAATAAAAAAAACTATAAAATAAGTTGCACACTAAAATGGCTCTTAGGATTGGGAGCAGTAGGTATAATAGGATACGTATTAAAACATAAATATTTCCTTTTCTTACTACCCTATTACTATCTCTATGTCTGAGGCATCGATGGTTGCTTTATCAATTTTCTGACTCATTAAACCCTCACATTTACCTCACTGTCTTTTCAGTAGGTACTAGGTAGCCTCTAATAAGGCACTTGTGATGTATCTCATATTGGACATGCATGTTTGTGTATATAAATGTTCCTAGCATGTTGCACTTAGGGACCCTTGGAATCATCCTAACTTAACCCCCCCCCCCCCTTTTACAGCACACCTCCCCCATGGGTCTATTTCCAAAGTCCAAAAGCATACAATCACTTGAATTGGTATCTCTAAATCAGGGTTTGCAACACAGTTAACAGATTTCCCCACTCAAAAACATCTTACCAGGTGTCCTAGGTGTGTGTGAGCAGAGTAATCTGTAAACTGTGCTATGGATTGGCCCTCCAGATCAGGAAGTGGGAAACCCTGCTCTAAATTCTGTGAGAGCCCTGTGATGCACAATCATCTCATCTGGGGTGCATGATGACTCAAAGCTCACCTCAACATTGTTCTAAATAAGCATTATGAATAATAGATAGATAGATAAATGGAATCAAAAGGAAAAAATTGTAACACACCGCTGATACAGTGAAACTAAATATTTAATCTGTTGCTTTGATATATCGAAAACAAAGTAACAAGAACTGCATCAGTGTCGAGCTATTCTCGTTTGAATCATTTCCTGATGTATATTCCAAAGGGATAGCTTTTTTACTTTAGCACACTCGTCCTCTAACCTGAATTTCCAAACTGCTCGATGACTACGACTTATCAGGGCGGCAGCTTGATTTTCACTGAAACTGGAAACCCCCGCGTGTCAGATGGGAGAATGTAATGAACCGTAACTATGACGTTTGCTTTTTGGTTTCGAGGCATTCACAGTTATTTAGCATATTGATACAATGAGGCTGAGTATATCTCCATCTTCTATTACCCAATTTTGGATAAGAAGGCTTAAAGAACACGACATCTAAATAAATATTATATGAGTAAATTTGTGTAACTGGATGAGGACTACAATACCCAATAGACATTAAGGAAATTTTGAAAAAGTTTTGACATGCGAAGAATACTTTAATTGGTTTCAGACTACATTTCCCAGTAGGCATTGCTGCTAGGACCAGAATTGCATCGTCACCCGTGTAGCCGTGGAGGCCACAGTCACCGCACAGGCGGCGAAACGAAGACGAGCAGGTGAGACTTATGTCGCTGTGTCTTTTTTTCCCCTGTGTTTTCCAATGGCCTTTGTAAAAAGAGGGACGCGGTTGTGAAGGTTGTAAGTTGTGCCCCTGGGATCCACTTGATTTTGTAGCCCAGCCGTTATGGGGAAGTTAACTTTGTTTTAAGTGCCGGTAGCTGCGGTCCTGTTCTGGACGCCTGGCTAACTAACGCTAGCAGGAGCGAAGGGCTTAAACCAAGTACGTGGGAAGCGCAAAGTTAAAAAAAATATACCAACGGAATCTGGAAAAAGAAATGTAGTAGTATAAACTATTTCAGAAAGTCCCCGTCCAGGCGCCCCAGTTGTCATCAGCACGATGGGAGTTTAAAGGTCTTTTGGCGACGTCAGACAGATGTTGTTGACTCCACTAGCCGGGCTAGGTGTGTTTCCGCTGCCGGTCCTGGTCCTTAACCAGCGTCTCATAAGACTGGGAATATCGCAAACACACAAACAGAACATGACAAACAGTATCGTTTTCCACCGGGGAAATCCTTTAATTTATCTTTTTTTCTGTTTGGCAACCGTTTCCCGCAGGGTGATGTAAGGAAACGCGCCTCTGTAAACTCCCTAAAGCGGATTTTTATTTTTTATCACTAAAAAGGCTGAGCAGAAGCGCCGACTAAGTGTGCTGGTGTATGGTTTTGAGTGAGTAGCCTAATAACTGATGGTGACATGTTACTTTTAATTCAGTGACAGTTTTCCTCCGGCATTATTTCAACTCATTTTTTTTGTCCGCGCCATTGACCGTCATTAAGGAAATGTCAAACGAAGAGTATTCTGATCAGAATGAGTTTTATGAACGTCAGATAAAAACTTATTTAGAGGCCCGCTTGTCAACAAATGTTGACAGAAGTTTCTGAGGTGCTATTGCAGATGGACTGAAATGCGATCTTGTCGACCAGGATTGTCGAATTTGTGAATGACATGTCACCCTCTAATGGCTAAATAGGGAAGATCGACTGTGTAGTTTAATTTAATGCTCAACAGAAAAATTAGCAGAGAAGGAAAAACAGGCTTAACCTGCCTACACAAAAATTACATTACTCGAATTTTAGTCATAGCTACAATTAGTCAAAAATACTGGCAATACATGGCATGCAAACTTTATGTGTTAATAGAAGTGCCTGAGTGGTTTTGCTGCTCCACTGATGTAGATATACAGGCGACAGACTTTGTATTAGTAGGGTAATGTTATTTGGACAAACCGTCTGTGCCATTTTGTGATCGACTAATGACTCCTCTGCTTCATGTTCCTCATGCTCCGGGTCTTTTGGATATTACAACACTTTTCCGTTGTAAAACTCACTGTTGGTCCCCTTGCACTTTCCCTGTGATCACATGAGTCAGGACTTTGTTATGGCACTCAGCACAATGGCCTCCCTCTCCATTATACAGTACACGTCATGATCTGCAAAACATGTTCACCCAGATTGCTGATTTGTCTCTCAGCAAGTGCACATCATGTCAGTGTATGATTTGTGGAGTACTTAGAGATCTAAATTTCTTCTGGAAATTATGGCGGGGTGTTTAAGTTAAACATGACATATAAGCGATACACCTTAGAATTTCCTTAGACCAAAATTCCTACACAGGCTGTCAGCACTGTCCTCAAATCTGAAGGCACTTGTTATATAAATGTAACATGAGAATCTTTCTACTTGCTGTTACTTTTTACTGGAAGGCTTTTGAAAATAGTTTTGTGCAAATTTGCAATAATTTTGAATATGTTAGGTACATGCAGCATGCACTCTTGTATTCTTGTTCTTTTTAAAACAATTGTATATTGTGATATTTAAATTAAAGGAACTCTGTCTTCTCCACCCTTTTCTGATATCTAATATTTGAGTTGAGATGACTCCTTAGTGCTCTGAGCAGACTATGGCGAAATGCTCATCTAGAAATTTTCTGAAAACACTTTGTGATACCCATTAAGCAACATGGCAGGCGAGTACCATTTTTATTACTAGAAACTGTTTTGTATAAATGTAAATTTATACTAAAGGATATGTTGAACTGATGAATCTGCTGTATTCTTTTTTTAAGGCTTTGAAACTGCCATCAGTGAACTTGCACATGATTATTATATAATGTAATAACAGTTATATAAATATTAAGGGGCTAGGTAGCTGTTAACTCTACAGTCCGTGGGATTAGATAGACAGGAGCAGCCCTTTGCTGACTCTGCATTGCTGTCCTGTAGATCTGTGGGTGGACTGCACTGCCAGTAGAGTAAGTTGTAAATTTAGTAGATTGCAACACAGTACAGTATACCTAAAGTCCAGCTTAGAAAGTAGCACACATTTTTGCCTTTTAATATCTATTAATTTGTTTTTCTGATGCTGGCATAATTCAGGGATCCGGGCCTCAGCATAATTACATTTTGAATACAGGACATTTTG